TCGACACAGTGTTTCATCACCAGATGAAACACCTCGAAGTTCGTCAAAAATACTCCGCTGCGCGTCGTATTTTCAACTCTCTTCTCGGTGTTTCATCTGGTGATGAAACACTGCATCTCATGTTTGATATATTACATGAATTAAAGCAAAGTAGTAGTGACATCACTGGACGGCACTGACGGCCGGTCGATTCAGACGTCACTGACGGAGCTAATAACGACTCGAACTAATGGGATGAAATTCGGGCTAATAAAAAGGCTCCTCACAAAACAAAAACAAACAAACAAAATAATAATAATAATAAACAGTAGGACCCTGGGCCTATACATTACTTACTCTTTTCTCAAGTTTGATTCGTGGCATAATACAAGAAAGCTTTTTTTCGTTTATTTATTATATCCTTATTAATTTTCTGGGCGCTTATTGTAGTAGGCAACTCGTGTTGATAATCATGTTTTCGTAGTGACGATAGCCTGAGATCCCTATTATCCTTCTATGTCTAGAGATAGTTATCTACCTTCAACTGAAAGACACACGATCCATTAGTAAAAGTAGCAAATAAAGATCATAAACGAAAGGACAGCATTTTTAAGTGTAACCGCCATTTTATTTTTGATTTTAATTTATTTATTTTCAATCTAAAGCGGCTTCATTTGACCAACAATTCTCATTACAAGAATTGCGCACTCCTTCCTTGCCCAAAATCGTTAGTTTTGATTTTTAATATATATGTCGTGTTATTTAATTTATTGAATGGCATTACAGCAAAGTGCTCTACTATATCTGACTTTTGGGACGCAAGTCACCTAATTTTCTTTTTCTTGCAAAGGATAACTGGGGCCACCTTCCAATAACGTGTAACATCGCAAGGTAAGTCGTTCCACTTGCCTCCATGGCGGTGTGGCGAGCCAAACATGTTTCCACACTTTTCGCTCACGTTGTTTGGTTCGCCGCGTGCCCAAGTCGTGTAACCTTTCGCCAGTGGAGTGTCATCAATCCAGTAGAACTTGCTGTCCGCCTTGCGGACAAAACCAAGCCACACACCCGATTTGGTGATGGTTTTCTGTTTCTTGAGCAAGGCGAATATGAAGTTATTCTCAGCAGCTGATATTATTATAGCGAGGTCTCCTCCAAGCAGCTGACATGTTCGTCGAGCATCGCTCCATTTCGGGGTTCGAATGTCGATGATGAGGTAGCTGAAGTTGCCGTAGTAAACCCAAACATCTTGCGAACAAACTGAAAGGAAGAAAATTTTCCAGTTGATTAATAAGTCTCAGACATTAAGTCGCTCTAATAATAAGCCTCGAACAATTAGTCGCTCTTTTAATTAACTGAAAGTTTGATTCAATTGCAAGAGTTTATACCTTTAGCGCTTGTCGATTTCTGGTACAGCTGGTCAATTTTGTACTTCATCTCGGTGAGCAGTTTTCTATCAGATTTTCCTAGGCCCCAGTTGTTGATGTTAAATGTTTGATCGATCGGTTGAGGCTTTTTGTGAGCTGTAAGCGCGGGTGATTTGCTGGAGTCGAAACTTTTGGGTTTTCCATTGGTAAAACTGCTTGAAACAAGGATAAAAACAATGACGATGAAACTTGATTTTCCAGACATGGTTGACGTCCTCTCAGGTCCAAAACAGTATGTAGCCCGCCCCTCGAGAAATGAAAGTTTTTGTTGAGTTAATCCGCTTGATGAATCATCAGTATCTCCAGGCTATCTTCAGGCGCATTGCGGCTGACGTATCACATGGAGGCTGTTTAAACAAGAACAAATTTCTCGTCGCAGTTTATCAAAGTAATGATCATAATAAAAGAAAATTTAATAAGTTATGGCTATTTGAGTCAGTGGTAGACAATTGGTTTAATATGATCTAATATGATAAAGATATTGTAATGTGTCGGGGCGGTAAATCTCTCACATCTTGTGCTAAAAGTCCAAGAAATTGCCACGATGTTTACATGGAGTGGGGGACACAAAACAAAAGAAACCTACCCCACAAGACCGGGGTCCCCCACTCCATGTAAACAGGGTCTAAAAGTTGCCTTTGCCTCTAATAATGATCCATTGTTAGTATTTTTAGAAAAGAACGACTTGAACACTTAGTCATAGATTCGATGCCCAAAATACTGTTCAGTAGTGTTCAACACATCGATCAAAAAAGTGTGAGACATCTATCAAATCTAACGGTTTTTCATTCTTCGCATTGAAGTTGGGTTGCTGTTTTGCATTCAGTAGTTGTGTACAGATTAACTACAATGCAGTCATTCAGGGAAGAACGCATAAATTAAACTCGCATCGTTAGGTATAATAAGAAAGTCGATCCGTTGAGTCTTATCAATGTCACATGCATTATTTTATGCTATTGGTTTTACCTGCTGGGTACAGATGTAAAAAGGATGTATTTAATAAAGCTTACTGCAAGGGTAAAATTTGTCAAGCGGCAGTGATTGAAGTGATGTGTGTATCGAACAACCCGTGCAAATGTCACAATTCGCCTTTCATGCCCTGAAGTATAAAAAAGGCTGAATATTTTTGCATTGTAAAATCTATTCATTCAGGGCAATACGTCGGAGTAAAAATTTAGAGGAGAATGACTGTGATAGGAGAAAAAAGAAAGTATTCTTAATGTTCTCTGAAAGAAATCGAAATAGAAATGAAGTATCAGCTTATTTTTCTGTTGTGTCAGTATACTTTTCGTTATTCCGCCTTTTTGGCGAGTTATAAATTATTCGAGTCGCACTTCTAGTTATAGATTGCCTCTCTTATTTTGTTTATATTTAAAGCTGTTCGTTTTAAAATTTTAAAATCAAAACGGTTATAAAACCCCCTGGGAAGCAAAAAGACCACACAAATACTGGGCAAGTCTTTGATTTCTTATGAAGTATACTCCGTTCGATTGTGCTATTTAGACACTCATAGAGGCTCGAGAGGTCGATAGGTTCATCGACAGTTCGTCCAATGTCAGTCCACATTTCCCGCGCAAAGTACCTTTTTAACCGTACAATAAGTGCATAATGAAAATGCAATCAAGATTTGATATCGTTAAAATGTAATATATTTAAAGTAATAATAGTACAAAATTGCACGAGAGATTGTTGTTACAATAACAAGAAATTGTATCAAGTGGAAAATGTCGGAGTTAGCCGGCATAAGGGTCGACTTCTTCACCATCCACTCCCCATTTTCCATCTTCCTTTTTAACAGCCGTGGAAGACGCTGGTGTGTTTACGTCTGATTACGGGCTCAATAATGTGAATTGAGCCCGAAAAAGTTATTCACGATATATTCACCACATTCACACATGCCATAATGCACCTTGTTTACCCTACAAAATTTTACATAACCATTGTCTTGGGTTTCTCTTGGGACGACTGTAATATCCAGGAGAAATTGGAAACAATGGTTATGCAAAATTTGGGAGTAAAACAAGGTGCATTGTGGTCTATGTGAAAATGGTGAATTAGCCCAATAATGTTTATTAGATAGTCTGTTCCAGGCGTTCAGATCGTGGGGACAGAACACTAAGGCGTAGCTGCCGGGGGTTTTATGGTGACAGTCGAACAAGCCTCTTCCCTCCTCTCCAGTCAAGAAATCTACAAGTATTGCAGACAAAAAAACTTGTCCATTGCGAAAAACAAATAAACAAACAATCATGGTGTAACTTATTTCTTAGTTAAATAATTGACTGAGAGAAGATGTAGGATATGCCTTGTATGATTTTTAAAAAGAAAAAAAAAAGATCATTTTTCTCAAGTTTGATTTCGAAAGGCGTTTTCTTTTAGGCATGAAATTTGTCGCCTTAGTTTATGAGACTTGCTGACTTCTCTATAAAGCTTCATCAGTGATTGTCGCAGTGAAAATTTAGTAAAACGGTAAAAGGAAGCTGAAATAATGATTAGCTTTTAAACCAAGTGCAGTGAATACAAGTCGTGAATGTCGTATCTTTTGTATCGAACTGATAGGGTCTTTCCTATAATGAGATCTCTTGTAGCTAATTTTTTTATCTCAAGTAGTTTTTGTTTTCCTTTTGTTTCTGGGTATGGTAATTTATGCTTAGAAAGTTGAAACAAAAGAAAAATATTAATTACCTGAGGTAAAGAATTAACTACAACATATCCGTGGCAGGATTTTTACCGGTAAACATTGTAGAATATTGTACATCGTAAAAGCGAATCAAGTTCGACGTCTGAATCAACCATCGAACTTTTATCATTTGAGTCGAGCCAAATAGCTATCAAGTTCGGCTCATGAAAAGTTCGGCATTTGAACTGGTCCTAAGCCCTCTTTCTCCCCAGCTACCGTGCGTTTATCGCGTCAGTTTTCGCGTTTTCGCGTACGTTTTCGCGTTTTCTAGGAGAAGCCGGAAACAGGCTACTATATCCAACCCCTCCCTTTTCCTTCCCCCCATCCCTTTCGTTCGCTTCCTCGGAGGCTAACATAAATAGACCATATGACAGTAGATTCGCTAAATATTAAGAGTAGCAGCACCTAAATATGGAACCAAAATATAACAATGGCAAGGGCTGCATCGAGGAAAACACGCACGAAGACCTCAGCAAATGTTTTACTAAATGTGAACACGAATAGAGTAAATTCCTTCAAAGCGCCAAAAAAAAAAAGGTTGCAGTATAGACATAAACAACCTAAACTAGACCGCAAAACGAAATGGAAGGAAACGAGAAAAAACGAGGCTGCTTACCAAATACTGAGGACATTTACAACGTTTGGAGTTCGGGGAAACGAGAAAAAACTGACATAGATTAACGAACACTATAAAGACACGTTAAAAACACTGCCTTAAAAAGGGCGAGATAACAAACTATATACGACCAAATTTACATACGGCGCGAAAAGAAAGGAGAATAATTGCAAATACCAGAGTGAGAAAAAAAAACGAAGCACGATAGCGAGTAAGTAAAAACGAAAAACAAAAAGGAAAATTTTGCTATAACACCTTTTTACCTTGAACAGGAGTAACCAATACTTAATTTCTCTTCTTTATTGCCCTTTATTCTCTTATCAGTCTAATATAAGAATTCATTTCACCTTAATTTGAGTATTTCATATTTATACTAGACTTTGAATCTTATGCTGCCTTATGGACGTGAGCCATTTAGTGATTTGTTTTTCTTGCAAAGAATAACAGGGGAAGACGTGAAATACGATGGACTGTTATCACAGTATACGTCGTCCCATTTGCCCGCTCCGCCTCCTGTACCATACATGTGCGCGCACTTTTGGCTGACGCTATCAGGTTTTCCAGTTAACCAAGCCGTGTATCCGTTCGCCATAGGGGTGTCATCAATCCAGTAGAACTTAGTGTCGGCTTTGCGAACCAAACCGAGCCAAACACCCCAATTCGTGATTGTTTTCTGTTTTTTGATCAAGTCAAATATAAAGTTATTCTCAGCAGCGGATCTTACGATTGCAAGGTCTCCTCCAAGTATCTCACATGTTCGTCTAGCATCGCTCCATTTCAGTGTTGGAATGTCGATGACGAGGTAACTGAAGTTTCCGTAGTGAACCCATCCGTCTTGCGGACAAACTGAAAATTATTGGGTCATATTATAGATTATTCAGTTTTTAGCGATAAAACAATAAGCCTCGTGAGTGTCAGCCACTGTCCGATTTGAAAAACTAAAAGCCGACGGCTAATGCAACAGGGGTACCCAACGACTGTTTCCTTTAAAATATCTGTTCGGAGAAGCAAATATTGCCAATAATTTTCTATTACTTGAGGACGACTAAAAATTGTTCGTTAACTGTTCCATTAATGTACAATTTTCGAAGCTTATCTAATAAATCCCCTACGATTTTCTGAAGTTTAATTTTCACACTTACTTCCCAAGTTAGGCTATTTTTATGAGAAAAAGGGAAACCTAAAATTTTCGGATTCAAAAATGGGATGGAGAGAGTAATCAGAAAATGTCTCACTTTCGTAATACGTCAAATTGCATCTAAGATTTTCGGGAAAATTATACTCAAGCCCTCAAGCCCCCGAAAAGACTCTGGTTGCCCGAGGATGGCCGAGCAGATACAAATTTTATAGCGTCACTTAAAATAAATTTCTACAGCTCTTAAAAGTACTCTGGATAGCCTAAAAAGTGTTTTCAATGTATTTAGGAAGAAACTGTCTTTGGGTGCCCCCGATGAAAGAAAATTATTTACCTGTTGTGGCTGATTTTTCATACAGGGAGTCGACTTTGTATTTGATCTCACTCAAAAGTTTACGATCAGCGTCTTCGAAACCCCAGTTGTTGATATTAAAGGTTTGAACCATCGGATTACGTGGTTTATTACTTGTGAGCGACGCTGTGTTGGAAACGGCACTTTTAGGATTGATCTGTGCAATGATTAAAGCAATGAAACGGACGAAATTCCATTTTCGATTCATGGTTGATTTCTTTCTCGGATCCAATGAAGAGGTCGTCGCCTTTAAGCGAACATCCCAAGGAATACACTAGTCTCTAAAGATGATCCCTGACGTACTGATCAGTCCGCTTAGCCATGTGTGTATCACACAACCCACGCGAATGTCACAATTCGCCTCTCGTGCCCTAAAAAAGAGCCGCATGTTTTGACAGTAAACATGAAATACCACGAGACACTAGGTAACTCTAAGATTTTACTGTCCCGACTGCCAAACTTGTATTTGATAAACCTGCACAAGCGCGGACCAGTGCTAGTGGCATAACAGGCATACGAATCACGAAATTGACGAAGAAAGAGCCAAACCAAACTTTTGGCCAGAGTAAGTTTTTGACTAAAAAGAACGGGGTTGGCAATAATATTTCTCGCCACATTGAGTAAATGATTGCCAGTCTTGAAAATGATGTCGCCATCGCTAAAGAGAAACTATCTGGAACAGCTGAACGAATGATCCCTATGGTTCACGAACTCGAGCGGGGTGGTAGTAATAACCGCCCTAAAAAACACGCGTGCGCCCAGAATAAAAGAAATAGATGGCGTGAAGAAAAAGTCCCAGTTTTTATCGAAGCAGATGAAGAAAGCAGCAGAGTTTTGCGAATGAACTGTCAAGGCTCGGAGGAGTTCATGCTCAGATGTCGGATGAGAAGCAGAGTGAATGAATGATTTTCCAGTAATCGGATATCCAGGTTTTGCGCACAGGATTCTGAGATCGCCAGGGGGCAAACATTGCGAGTCGCTACAAAGAAATGTATGGCGTCGAGTTGTTTCTCCGTTAAAAGCAGTGTCTTTGGACATAGAATGCCGCATTTTGCCGTGATTTTATGAGAAACGGAGGTGACTAATGTTGGTACGTTGAAATTTCAAGTTTCTATGTGATTAATGCGATAAATTCTATCGATAAACACTCCTTGAGTGAGGTTGAGTTTGAAATTTTTGTTCACTGAATTTACACAGACATGAAGAATTCGAAGAAAAGGTCTCGAAATATATAGTGCAAATTTAGGTATACATGTAGCGGGATTGGCTCATTTAAGCGTTTAAGTTATAATTACGTGTGGTGATATTTACGACGAGTGTAGCTACGCTCGGCCGCGATCAGCGCTGTGCGGCGCTTTGCGGCTTGTGACAAGTCAACGATCGTAGGTATGTACGTGGCCATAAAAATAGAAAATCCTCCTCTACTTTGGTATAAACAAAGTGACATCTACAAAATATTTCATGGAAAGTACATGGTATTTAACCATTAGTAGATGAGGCAGAAATCGTACAAACCAGTAAGATTTCCGATACAAAAGCGGTGAGTGTGAAAATCAATGCCAAATTGATGTGCCAAATTCAGAGATTCTATATCTTCCCTCAAAATGATTGGAAAAGGCATTAGAACTCATCGGTTCTCTGGATCATGACAAAACATTTCGCTTGTGTTTTTTTGGCGAGAAGAAATCAATATACTAATGAGCGGAAGATGTTTTTGTTTTTAAATTTAATACATATCAAATTCGACAATACATAAGCTTACCTTCGATCGTTGTCACAAGCCGGCACAGCATTGTGATCGCCGCCGAGCGGAGCGTAATTACACTCGTTGTAAATATGAGCACATCTAAGTACAACTGGAAAGGCTTAAATGAGTCCGCATTCCCCGCTCATTTATACCTAAGTTAGTACTATATATTTCGAGACCATTCAGTAAATTCACAGTCGACCTTTCGCAAGAATCAGTGTATATCGATAGATTTCATCGCATTGATCCCACAAAAACTTACAATTTCTTCGCACCAATATTAGTCACCTCCGCTTCTCATAAAATAACGGCAAAATGTTACGTTCTCTGTCCAAAGACACTGCTTTTGAAGGAGAAACAGCTCCACGCCATACAATCCTTTGAAGCGACTTGCAATGTTTGCCCCCTGGCGATCCCATAATCCTGTGCGCATAACTAAGTGTCCGGTTACTGGAAAATCATTCATTTAGACAATTCTAACTTGAAGATGATTTTTTTAATGTTTTTATTGTATAAAACTTAAGGGCGATGGTTAAAATTTTAGAAAACTGGAAAATATTTGATTTGGAAGTTATTGAAAGTTTTAAACATAAAGTGAATAATTAGTACGCCATTTTCATGCCGTCAGGAAAACCACTTACTGCCTTCGCGAAACTAAGTTATGGGAAGCGAGATTTTGTCATCACCTCTAAACAACCGAAACTGAGAAAAAGAACAATGTCAAACCGGCACTTTAATGATACTCTCTTCAAAACTCAGAAAAGAAAGAAAGCCATTCCTCTTTACAACATTAGGACAACAAACTTAAAGGCAAGGAGGAAAGAAGTGAAAGAGGTCCGGTCCAGCTAGGGAGCTTACCCTCCCAATCACACCTGTCCAACAACCTCGCTAACTTTAGCCTTTCTAATTTGCTAGCAAAGGAACTGACGGGGGTGCAACCTGGGTAGAGGAAAAGAAAAAAGGGGGGAATAACTAACCTGATAAGGTTAGGCCTACACACACTTGCGTAAACAACAGCTAAACAAAACAACAACAACAAAACATATTGGAAAAGGGAGGGTAAAGCCCCGTGCAAACGGACGCAACATTGTTGACCAACAACTCCCAACATTGTTGGATATTACATGTTGCGTCCGTTTGCACACCCTGTTGCATGTTGTTGGATGTTGTTGCGCAAAGTTTGAAACCGGTCAAACTTTTCAGGCAACAACTCCCAACATTTCTTTTGTTCGGTCATCGCCGAAGCGTGGCGCAACAATGTTGAATCCGTTTGCACAGCTCTTCCAACTTTGTTGGGGCCACGCACGCTCATTACCCATGGTTTACAAAGACTTATGGGTTGTATCCTTCCCACGATTTACTGCAGGTCCCAACATTGTGGGGAAAGCACCGTTGCCCCATAACAAAAGAAATTGCGATCCACCTTACGGGATCATTACTTAATTAGTTTTCCAGCCCGATTCCTTCAGCAACAACTTGAATAGATTTATGCTGGATCGATTATATGTAACTCGGCACGTGTCGTTGCAAGTTTCAAGGAAGATTCCTTCGATGAACGACCTCATTTGAAGTTTTTTTATAGTACCTTTACTTTAGATTTCTTGTTTTAGGAAAATAAAAGAAAAACAGTGCGAGAAATACAACCAGAATACGTGCATCGTGGCCAGACTTATTTGACAGCTAGTCATTCACAGTTGCGTTATTTTTGTTATTTTTTTAATTAGTAGGCGTTCCCCTCCTCCCTCCTCCCTCGCGCGTGGTCTCGCGCCCTAATTCCCTTCCCCTTCCCTTTCGAACGCCTGCCACGCAGGCTAACACCTAACAAATATATCGAACGCACTCTCCTAAGCTCCGATTACTCCTAGTTTTAAAAGTAGAGGCAGATTCGGTTGGAAGAAATGAGGGGGGAGGGGGAGAAAAACGTCATGCAGCAAAAACCAAAGGAATTACAGTGCTCTCCAACCCCCCTCCCCCAACGGAAAACACCTGCACGCCTTGAAAGCACGTTCGTTATGTCGATCACTAGTTTTTAGCTCTCGGTGAAAGGAGCCTGGGGGAGGTCTTCTCTATACCGTAAATGACCTAATAGACGCCGACTCCCAAATAAACGCCTCTGATCTAATGAACTTCCCCTCTACGCTTTTAAAATTGTATTAGACGCCCCTCTCTAATAAACGCCCCCTATGAGAATTATCCGAAATACAAAAAATTAGAAAAAGGAGCAAAATTATTCAATTCATTCAGTTTCTTGCTTGATTAACGAGGCTTTGTGTATTTCATCTTGTTCAATGTTAAGTTCAAAGTAAGGATAGACTAACGATGGCAACGCATAAGCCCCGAGTGAAGGTTCTGACAAATGTTAGGATTTGAAAGAGAGATATGGATCTCTAGACGTATCAAGAGTGGATATTCCGCTACTTTGAAACTCTCTTTATCTTTTCGCCGAAAGCATGTTGAGCTTGTCGAAGTTATGAGACAAAAGGCTTCTCTCTGTTTTAACGCTTCCTATCTATTAAACACCTCCGCTGGGACCCCTAAAATTAAATGGACGCCACGGGAGTTTATGAGGCCATTTACGTGGCGCATAACATCCCTCCAGTTACGCAGCCTACTTCGTACAAATAGCAGCGTTTCGATGAAAAGGCTCCTAAAAAAAAAAACAAAACAAAAAAAAAACAGTAAGACGCTAAGCCTATACATTGATGACACTTTTCTCAAGTTTGATTCGTGGCAGGTGGTCAAACTATCAAACCATTTCTGTGAGTTGAAACAAACGAACTTTTTTCGTTTATTTTTTTTATATTTATTATTTTCTGGGTGCTCATTAGTCTCACTTGCGTAAGCAGCGAGACTCATAATCGGCAAAGCGTTTTCGCATTTTTGTTCGTATCTTATACACAAATAGGGAGTCATTGTGCCAGGTGTTCCTAGCGGAGGCCGTGGAAACTGGGACTAAGAATCTTTGCGTGATCGAAGTCACACATGTTTAGGAAAGGTTAAATTTAGGGCTTTCCGAAACGTGTCGTTCCACGAATTCTATCGCTTCAAAGCGTTGATTACTTTGGAACAAGTGAACACTACTGAGGGTGCGTTCGATTGGGAAATCTGGATTTAGATTTTTAAATCCGGATTTCGGATTTGCAATCGAACGCAAAATCCGAAAACGGATTTCAACGCTAATATATCTGTTTTTGGATTTTCATTTTTGCCGTTCGTCTGGGAAATCCGCAAAAGGATTTGAAAAACCGTTCTTAAGAACAGCGGTCTTGCACGCACATGCATAATTAGCAAAAAGAAGAGCGCTGTTCACGAGAACAGTTTTGCAAATCTTTTTTCGGATTTCCCAATCGAACGGTAAAAAGGAAATCCATGAATCCGGATTTGGATTTCTCAATTGAAATCCACCCTGAGGACGGATTTCTCGGAGGTGAAATCTGTTTTTGGATTTCGCGTTCGATTGCAAAATCCGAAATCCGGATTTCAAAATCTAAATCCAGATTTCCCAATCGAACACAACCTGAGTAGTTGAAAAAAAAACTGCAAAACTGCGATGGTCGGGTGTTGTAAACTTTCATTGTATGCAAATAAGTCTTGTGGAGAGAATGCAGTTCATTTTCGGCGATGATTGAATTGACGTGCCATGTAAATCACTTTTTTGATCGCTGGCAGTTATGTAATTTCTCTGGAATCGAGGCCCTTGAATTTTCGTGTATTTATGCACGCGTATAGTCTGCGACCGCAGACGTATTTCCGGTCGTTGCTAACACGTGTACTAAATCAATTCAGAAACAAATAAAAAGTATCGACGTCGATAAAGTAGGAAGTAAGAAACCTTTAGCGAGTAAATAACGTTTTGTGTAGAATTAATCGCCTCCTCATTTCTCGATTTAATCTCCAAGCAAGCGAGATCGGCAGCGGCTGTAAGCGCGTTCTTGTCGTAGTAAGCAACTCGTGTTAATAATCATGTTGTCGTAGTGTCGCTACTGAGCTCCTTATTATCCTCCTATGTTTAGAAATAGTTATCTATCAACTGAAAGACACACGATCTATTAGTTAAAGTCGCAAATAAAGATCAGAAAACGAAAGGGCAGCATATTTTAGGTGTAACCGCCATTTTATTTTTGATTTTAATTAACTGAATTTATTTTCAATTTAAAGCAGTTTCATTTGACGAACAACTCTCATGACAAAAAGAGAGCACCCATCTTTGCCCAAAATCGTAATTTTTGATTTATGTCGTATTATTTAGTTTATTAAATGGCATTACATCAAAGTATTCTACTCTATTTTGACTTAAGGGACACTAGTCACATAATTTGCTTTTTCTTGCAAAGGATAACTGGGGCCACCTTCCAATGGTTTGGTGGGTCGAGATCGCATGTTAAGTCGTTCCACTTGCCTCCATTGCTGTGTGCCGAGCCAAACATGTTTCCACACTTTTCATTCCCACCAGAATTGTCTGGCTGGCGGCTTGCCCAAGCCGTGTAACCTTTCGCCAGTGGAGTGTCATCAATCCAGTAGAACTTGTTGTCCGCCTTGCGGACAAAACCAAGCCACACACCCCAATCGGTGATGGTTTTCTGTTTCTTGAGCAAGGTGAATATGACGTTGTTCTCAGCAGCTGATTTTATTATAGCGAGGTCTCCTCCAAGCATCTGACAAGTTCGTCGAGCATCGCTCCAATTTAGGGTTCGAATGTCGATGATGAGGTAACCGAAGTTTCCGTAGCGGACCCAACCATCTTGAGGACAAACTGAAACTAGAACATATTTCGTTAGCATTATCACATTAAGCCTCGTGGTATCATCCACTCTTTTAATAAGAAGCCCCGCAAATAATTTTTGAAAATTTTAATGTGAGTGAATTACCTGTTGCGGTCGATTTCTCATAAAGAGAGTCGATTTTGTATTTCATCTGCTTTAAAATTTTTCGATCAGCGCTTCCAAAACCCCAGTTGTTGATGTTAAAGGTTTGGTCCATCGGTTGACGTGGTTTATCACTTGTGTACGTCGCTGAGTTGAAAACAGCGCTTTGAGGATTGTTTTTTGCAAAACTACTAGAAACAATGAGATAGGTAAGGAAAATGAAAACGAAACTCCATTTTCTGAACGTCATGGTTGAATCAGTTTTTTGTTGGATCAAATGAAGCTAAGAGGCAGCCTTTATGTGTACACCTCGAGGATAAGCGTCTCTTTAATACTCGTGTTTGATGACTCATCAGAGTCGTGGTGAACGTGATCGCTGACATATCATTAGGGAGCTTAAGTAGCGGACGTTCTCGAGGTCACGGACGCGTCAAGAAGGTTGTGCCCGGTCTGGATAGAGGACGGCGTTCGTGGCGCGAAAAGCGAAGATTAAGCAATTTATCTTTTTTGGCATAACGCGAGTCATGAACGTCTTGTCTGCGTTTAATTTAGCTATTTGAAATGTCTTCACTCATGACATAGCATTTCGAATTTCAGAAAGATTTTTGTCGCTGAAAGAGACCCATTCTCATATGATCATTTCAACTTTCACATTCGCCAAGCTTGAAATGCCGTCCTGTACTATTTCATAGTGTAGACAGTGAGTGTGTTGTGTAGTTTCATTAACCACAAATGAGATTTAGTTTGCTATTCATTTTCAAAGTTGATTGCGCCAAATATCACAGGGGTCTCGCTAGAAAACGTTTCCAAGATATATATAAGTAGTCTACTATGTTGGAATTTAACCCCGTTAGTGTCTAGCACGGTCTAGCTAGGGTCTAGTCTATGACGTCACCGATTGTTATAACCTGGGGAAAAAGTGGATTCCCTTTATTAATATGTATAAGTGTCTTCCTGCATACTAATTAAGTGTCTTCCTTCATATATAATGAAGTGGATAGGTTTACTAATGAGCGTCACTCTACTACAATAGGAACAATAGGCTTGCCTAGACTTGCCCGGGCTCTTTTAACCCTGATTGGATAGTAAACAATCTATTATGTGTTCAACATAAAAGCGCACTCTCCGTTCAGCATTTTATTATTGTCACAAACTCCAGTAAATAATATTTTTGAGCGGATAGCTTCCAAACATACTAGTCAACGGTCCGAAAACAGTACTCGACTTAAAACTATTCACTGTGACCAAAGATAAATATTTTTATTCTACAAAACCGTTGATTCTGTTTTGTCAATATAATTCAACCTTCAAACGTTTCTAGACTGTGGTATCGAGCGTTAACCATTAACAGGTTGGCCTTTTTCCTTTTAGACCTGTATCATACGAAACAAAACGAACGCAAGCGAACTGTATTTTATTATTCATCGCAAACTAATTTAATATACACTGAGCCAACATGAACGCTTGTCGCATAAATTATCCACGGGAATCAACTCAATTATATATAAACAATAGCGTGAATGCGCTTGGGTGAACATCTTAAAAGCTTTTATTTCTTCGAATCTTACAAAGCAAAAATACATTTATTGTAGTAACTCAACAACTTAAGAAAAAGGATTACAATATGGTGAGCAAATGATTAAAGCCTACAAAGTGCCTCTCCCTCTAGCTCTTTCGATTGCTTTCGTTTCTTGAAGAAATGCTTGGACACTTGGTTCGTCTTCGTGTATATAAATCCACTTTCTTTTGCCGTTGGAATAATGTTTTATTTTGACGGGCCAGTAATTTTCAGATGCAAACATGACTGTGGGGGTATAAGGGTTAACAGCATTTCGAGTGCTCGTGTACATCTCGCAAAGGCCAAACCCTTCTGGAATAGCTTTGAGATAGGGCGCTCCATGTAAATAATTCTGCAAGGCGGGCCAGGTCATCCCACACCAATCCAGATCAAACGGTTTCGGTTTACGCGTAGATGATTTAGCTTCAGCATATTTCGGGGGCACAATAAGATCCTTTGGGGGGATCGATTCCACCTCTCCCTCTGGTTTTAAGGTTTTGTTGATACTTGGGTAAACTCGACAAGAGCCAAAGATGTCGCTCAACACCTGCTTATTTGCCGCCGTGTCCGGTTTATTATCTACAAAGATGTAACCGTAAGGCCTCTCTGTTTCCTGATAATAAGCTGTCATGAATCGTTGGCGATTCTTATCAAACATACGCTCAGCAACAATTCCGATTTGTTTCCGATCGCTAGGACTTCGGAAAAGAGCCATGTACTGTGCATTCCGACTGATATCGGTGTTAAATTTTCCCTTGGGGAACATATTCTGAAGGAGCAGTATGACGCTAGCATTTCTTTGGCGACCTTGGGTAAACAACCGAGAAACGATGGGGCTTTCGATCGCTTCTGCCATTAGATCATCAAAGATGATAACGTTGTTGTATTTTGGGTCAATTTCTCGCAGATCTTCTTGAAATGTGGGAAGGCCACGAAAAAATTTAATGTCCTTTCCGATCGCTGATTTCAAAGCTTCGTATCTATCTTGCCACTGACTGTAATACCATAAAATGCGACGGGGCTTGTTGGTTTCGTAGACAATACGATCTCTCGTTAGAATCTGTTCTACGAAAACTGTTTTCCCTGATTGACTTGGTCCAACCACAAGGAGTGAGAACTTATGGCGAAACATAAAATCTGGATAAGGCTCGGTTGCCAAGGAAACATCATGGGAAAGCTTTACCTTCTTTGCAGTAGAAGAAGTTTTCGGCGTTTCGTTTACTGGTCTCCTTCTTTTTCTTGGTTCACATATTTTTCTCGTGGAACTAGATGAACAACGACGTAAGTCGACGCTTGTAGAAATATATTCTCTTTTTGATTCCCAAGAAACCTTAGCCTCTTTTAACAGTCGTGTTCGTCTTAGCCCGGTTAAGTCATGGACAATTTCAAGATGAGAACTCAAGTTGGACACACCAGGTTTGCCACATAGCGGACAAATTCGAGGAAACGTTCGAGGCATGACTGCTTATGAAAAATGACTCACAGTTAACAGAATCATTTAATATATAGTTATTTTACAATGGTGGGGAGTACTTAAGAGAATTCAGGGGTACAGGAGGGGTACAGGAAGGGTACAGTAGGGGTACAGGAAGGGTACAGTAGGGGTACAGGAGGGGAACAGGAGGGGTACAGGAAGGGTACAGGAGGGGTATAGTAGGAGTACAGGAAGGGTACAGGAGGGGTACAGGAGGGGTACAGTAGGGGTACAGTAGGGGTACAGGAGGGGTACAGTAGGGGTACAGGAGGGGTACAATGAAAGTTCATAGAGTTCCGTTGTGCTTTGCAGCCGTGCCTCCATCGATAGCTATAAAAGAAGTAAGGCGCTGTTTCTGATTCAGTCAGTTCTTAAACCTCGTACAGTTCGGATCACAATGTTCAGCAATTATAATCATTTCGTTCACAAAGGATATGGAAATTTTGAAGATGATGACGACGATATTGAAAAAGTTCTCAATCTAGCGAAGAAATGGACTCTTCCGGAGAGGAGGAGGAGGAGCATGTAGATCCTTGGTCACGCATTCAAAATGAAGTTTGTAATCGCCACGAAGCCCAGCTCGAAGCTCTGATCAACGAGTATGAACAAAACGGAGACTCGCCTGAAGTGGCCCGCATTAAAGCTGAAAATGCTTTGCTTCCAGTATATAGAAAGGAATTGAGAAAAGTGTTCTTAGAGTTTTTACAGTGGATGCATGCAATGAAGAAAGATCCGACATTCCGAAAAGTGATGGAAACCCGCCAAGATCTCAAAGACACGGAAGGATATGACTGGCTGGAATCGACAGAACTTGCCATCGATAAGCGGAAATTCTTACTCAATCGATTGTTTGTCAAACAAACCGTTCCCGAAGACTAAGCTGGAACTCTGTCTATTCATCTATTGTTGGAACGCTTTGATGGTTTTGTTATCAATAAATGTATTTTTTAACCGAAACAAAGGTGTAGTCTGGTTGTAGCACGCGCGTATTAATCCCACCATTGTTTATATATAATTGAGTTGATTCCCGTGGATAATTTATGCGACAAGCGTTCATGTTGGCTCAGTGTATATTAAATTAGTTTGCGATGAATAATAAAATACAGTTCGCTTGCGTTCGTTTTGTTTCGTATGATACACGTCTAAAAGGAAAGAGGCCAACCTGTTAATGGTTAACGCTCGATACCACAGTCTAGAAACGTTTGAAGGTTGAATTATATTGACAAAACAGAATCAATGGTTTTGAAGAATAAAAATATTTATCTTTGGTCACAGTGAATAGTTCTAAGTCGAGTACTGTTTTCGGACCGTTGACTAGTATGTTTGGAAGCTATCCGCTCAAAAATATTATTTACTGGAGTTTGTGACAATAATAAAATGCTGAACGGAGAGCGCGCTTTTATGTTGAACACATAATAGATTGTTTACTATCCAATCAGGGTTAAAAGAGCCCGGGCAAGTCTAGGCAAGCCTATTGTTCCTATTGTAGTAGAGTGACGCTCATTAGTAAACCTATCCACTTCATTATATATGAAGGAAGACACTTAATTAGTATGCAGGAAGACACTTATACATATTAATAAAGGGAATCCACTTTTTCCCCAGGTTATAACAATCGGTGACGTCATAGACTAGACCCTAGCTAGACCGTGCTAGACACTAACGGGGTTAATTTCCAACATAGTAGACTACTTATATATATATATATATATATCGGCCGTTAAAAGTTACAAGAAGATAAAGCCCTCTGAAATGGGATTTGTGTTTACTTGGTGATGATTCACATGGGCAAGAAATCGAGTAAATCTTACTTAAATTCCGTAATTTTGCTATCTTCCAGTTCTGTAGCCAGCTAGAGCTGTCGAGTCCAAAATAGAATTAGAGACTGTTTACCTGAGTTTACATCTCTGAAAACGCCGAATAAAAAGTAGAAGAATTTTCCTTGGTTTTAGGCCATCAATTTAACCACAATATCGGAAATTACCAAATAATTCTTACCCAACCGCGAACTTTCGAGTACTAGAATCTCGCGTTCTGCATGGGGTTCTGGTGTCGGCGCAATCTCGTACCTTGAGTCTTCGTCCCTTACGGCGCATCAGCTGGCTTGACGAGACGAGCGCTGTTTTCCGAACGCAGGTCAAGGGGAACGAGGACGCTGGGTACGAGGGTGTGTTCGTAACGTCAAAAACGTCTGCTGCTTAAGCTCTCTATAAAGTTGAACATGAACAAATTTCACGTTGCAGTTTATCAAGGCATTGATCCTGCTAAAAAATAAATGTATTATAATGAGAGGTATTCATGAGTTATATTATTATTGGCAGTTTGCATGAATATCTTTCGCTGAATTCGCGACAGAATTTGTCGCAATACTATGTAAATTGATCAAGTTTAAGTTATACTTATTATCTTTTTTGATATTCATCAAAATAATATATGGACTGAAATAAAAAAACACTCCAAACACTTGTAAACTCTCGTAAACTAAAATAGGTTTTCGAAAGACTCGACGAATTACTGTGCAGTGATAACTACAGCTTCTTTTCAATTATATGAAGTATGATTCTCTTGATAGACATCTCTTTTAAAGTCTCTTATTGCTTTCACTGCTATCAGGAAATCAATTTCTGTTTTTTTTTTTTACAATAAAAAGACAAACATTCCAAAAGAACATCATTCATGATCATATCATTTAGAGTAGAACAGAATTGTTGGGCGCTGCCTGTCAGAGAGACCGTCTTACCTTAATAAATAACTAGACGAAAAAATGGATTTGCACAAATTTGTTCTTGGCAGATATGTCTCAATATAAAAAGTGAGGAGTAAATCTGGGGCAAACCCGGTAAATGCCACATTTACTCATTTACTCCCTTTAATTACAACCGACCCCACGTCAATTGGTATGCAATTATGGCATTACTGTTTTTGCCCCAGATTTACTCTTCTGTTTTTACATTTTGCGACATTTTTGCCATTAGCGAGTATTTGCAAATCCATTTTTTTGGTGATGCCTTCTCATATAGTCAAACCCCGTTAATACGGACACTGAGGAGGCCATAGAAAGGGTTCGTTTAAGCGGGCGGAGAGAATTTAGACGAATTTTCCTTAGGGATAAAGCAAACTGTCCAACGGCCGTAATAACGAGTTGCCCGTAATAAGCGGGTGTCGGTAAAGCGGGGTTTGATTGTATTCTCTTAGTTAGAGTGGCTATGTCACGAGGCAAGGATATTGCAGACGATATCGAACAAAACTAAACACCACTAAAAATAGGTGATTTTTGCAGGCATGGCACTAAGTGACTTGAAAAAGCTGGCCTAATTTCTTTAAGTTTCAATCCATGTCATCCTTACAATCTGTTGCAACGCACGACAGGAAATAGTTTTCAGCTGAGTTTTAATGCTTAAATATAATCTGAAATAGCAATATTAGACCATAATTAGTGTAATGCAAAACTGTTGCGAATGATGCGAAGTCACTTAAGAACTTTTTAAAAAGATGGCAAATAGCATGACTTAGTCCCTTTAAGTGTCTAAAGTGGGTCGCAAAATATATTGTTCTGGATGTAATCTTTCTTAGAGGACCTTGTGCTCAGCGCGGCCTTTAGCGGGTATCTATATAATAATGAACAATTATTGGATGAGGTTTTTGTGATATCCGGAATAATTCAGAGGTCGAAGCGAGATAAGTGTTATCGGCCTAGCCGAAGGCCGACGCTGATATCACAAAAACCGAATCTAATAATTTTTTTGTTATATACATTGTTTTGAAGAAAATAACGACAAACACACCGTCGCAAGGAACCTGTTTTGATGGAATTGTTATTGCGAATCATGCATTGCGCGCGCAAACTACAGATTAGTCACTTAACTGACTAATCTGTAGGTTGCGCTGATTTTCAAAATTAGCCGTGGACTCTTAGCCAAAGAAAATGAGTACAATGCATAACAATATACTTAATCACACCTTTTAGGAGCATCAAGGAACAATATCCTGAAGAGTGTAATCGATAAAATCCGATATCAGAAAACAATTCGATGAATCGATACTATCTATAATTCCTGATTGATTGATCGATTGATTGATATCCATGTTATCGAATGAAAAACCGGGCTTCGTTTGAAAGACCACAGGGCGCCCACACAATGTGTGTATGTAACCGATTGTTATTTTATAGTAAATGTACTGGTTTTACTGTTTGCTTCACCTATAGATGGTTTTCACAGTGACGTCATCAAATTGTAAAGTCGAAATAGCGAGGTTTTAAAAATTCTTCTTTACGCTAGGATGAAGATAAACAAAAAGCAAATCTCTGTACAAGTTTCTATTCCCGTAACATGTTTCATTTCGAACTTCCGAGTTTTCACAGTGCGTAGCACCAAGATATGAATGCTGTCTCGTTGAAAAAAAGTCGCTCCTCTTGATTTGCAGCAGTATAACCATTTCAAGTATTAGAAGATATGTTTATGCGCACGTATGCTAAATCTGGAGTGAAAAGAAAGAGCTTTTATTGAAAAAGTGAACTCCAGATGTTTTTGTTGATTTCCGGCGGCCATATTGGTGCACCAAAACAGTACACCAATATGGCGTCTCCATACAAAGCTCTACAAAGGTGCGTGAAACGTTTCGGCAAATTACTCAGAAACTGTGCGCCAGAAAGATCTTTTTTATATTAGTTTTTTATAACATTTCATTTTCTTGATTTTCTTCCACAGGACGGTTTCCAATTTATTTTTTGCTGGGTGACAGTGAAAACGATCTATAACGATATATCGCTAAGTATGTCTGTAAATCAATGAATTACCTTACCTGTGGTGTATCGTCGTCCTTTTGCCTCAAAAGCAGTTTTTTGAGCGATTTTGAAGGAGTCTGAGTTCGCCGTTTACCGTTCCTAATAATAGAAGGACAACTTGTCCGTCTATTATTAGAACAATAAACGTTCAACTCAAAATCCTTCAAAATCGCTCAAAAAACCGCTTTTGAGGCAAAAGGACGACGATATACCACAGGTAAGGTAATTAAACGTTTATTTAATATTTAACAATTATTCTTTGAAATTGAGGTGAATAGTGGCAAAATATTTACCGAGCCGCGAAAGCGGCGAGGTAAATATTCCCAAAGCCACTATTCACCGAGATTGAGAAGAATAATTGTTTTAGTATATACACACGAAGTGATCTCAACAAAATCAGAAAGGAAACCATTCAAAAGTAGGATTTGATTGACAGATCAAATCACGCGTAAGTTTAAAAATAGATCTTTGCAGAATTTTCAAACATGGCAATTCACAAGTTTACTCATTTCGCAAACAACAGCGTAATGGCTTCAATGGAATCGCTAAAAGTTTGAACTGTTTCCTTACCTGAGAAAATAAGTAGAGCTGTGTTGTTTTCTGTTGACTCGCCAAGTTTATAGCCAAAAGGGCATGTTGTGTCGTTCTTCGCATGAAGTGCTGACAAAAATGGCGGCTCGGTTGCTCGAGGTAAGAGGTCGTCTTCCTGTATCATTCTTCTTCCTGTTTTCTTGAAATGTAGAATTTCTGCAAACATTTCCTTTTAAATTTGTTTGTCATAAATAAACTTCGATTTTTGAGCCAAAATTTTCTTCTTAGAAAACGCTGAGTTCACGAAACGGCTTCTTCTACGCGAATACACGGGAGTTGTAAACAATCCATCGAGCACAAAACTCCTGCTACAGTAAATTGAAAAACGCCGTATTGAATCCTTCCAAGTCTTTTCTTGCCTTAAAAAAAGTCAGCCCTAGGATTTTGTCGACTTTTAAAAGATCGTTCTCTAAAAAAAACGGGAAAAACACCGAGCTCACACATTATCCACTCGCTAGGAGGTGAATATTGTTGAATAGTCCGAGATAGCAAACCAATCAGA